ATACGGGTTATTCTCCTTTTTGATTGTGCATTTTTTTAAGAAACACACGACATGATTATTTCCTGATTTATAGACTTGAAAGATTTATTTTATGTTTTTCTATTTGGATACTAGAATTAACTTAAATGCCTTCTGAGTTTGAAGTTAAGCATTTGGACAGTTCAAGCTGCATAGGTGTGTGTTCATATGCTTGCGTACTCCACCCGCCTGGCGTGCGTACTCTTACACACCCCATATGGTAAGAGTACGCAAGTGCAACGGTTCAGAAAATGTCCGTTTTAGACCACTTCCATTTACGCTGAAGGATCGTTGCCCCATGGGTTGATGGCTAATTCAATGAACTTTAATATTCCCTATTTGCGATTTCTTTCCTTCAAATATTAAACAAATGAGAGCAAGAAATCCACTAAGTGCGTACTCTTATACGACTTTACCCTACACATATAATAAAATGAATAACACCATCGTGTTCTACGCCCCAAATTACCTATAAAACATGTGTCACAGGCTGCGAATATCATTTTTGATTTTCGGGGATATGTGCCTACCCGGTTGACCTGACCTTGACCCTGACCTATGCTTGACTGACCCCTACATGGAGCTGACACTCTTGTAGGCCTTATAAGATGGATTGTGCACCGTATTGACAGAGTTTATGGCGAGAGGCGCCCATTGCGAAGTCCTGAAGTCCATGCTACTGAAAGCCCGATTTCAGGTGTTTGACTTGACCTTGACCCGACCTGTGACCTCAAAATTCAACTTTAAAGTACTCATCCGAAGCGTCTCGTCGCGCTCTTTCGTTTGCCGCCTCGTGCGTTTCGCTGCGCCTATTGGTTCTCGAGTTATCGGCTGGGGGCGTTTAACGCCCCCCCCCCCCAGCAAACGGTGGGTGGCGAAATACCCCAGCAACTGCCGGGTTATAGACTTGGGCCCCGTTGGCTTGACCCACTGGAAGGTGGTAGGTAGTTATCGGACGCTGCAGGGCATACTCATTTTTCCAAAATGCCTTAGATTTTATCGTATTCATAGGCGGCAGAACGGAGAGGGCACCGGGGCACCGTGCCCCCCTTTGATTTTGGCATTTTAACGTTAGCGCTATGGGCGTTGCATGGAAAGAATGGGACCAAAAGTCGGCAGTGCCCCCCCCCCTTAATTGAAGGTGTTCCGCCGCTACGATGTATTCGTGGTTGATGCTCTTTATTATATAGCCAGCCTTTAGACAGAGGGGGGCCCACTAATGATCAGTGCCCTAACTTCCAAAAGTTTCCAACATTAATTCTTACTTTTTTAATAGTGAGAACTGAAATAAAGCGGATATTGAACTGCGAACATCCAGTTTTCACACTGGCCCCACACAAGCCTCCGAATGCCCAAAGCCTGATCTCTGATGGCTGGCCTTTGGGTGTCATACCATACCGTGCATTGGTCAATGTCGTCAATGTGTACGACCTCGGCGTTTACCATTTTATGCGCTGGAAACTGTTGCTCTCGAAAAACAATCAGGGGAGTGGCTTATTATGAGCGCTCATCAGTCCTAACTACCCGCAAGCGAATGGCCGGCCCTTCCGTCTCCGCTCGCTTGCGATTTGGCATTTATGATGTATGTAGGTACAAAATAGAGGTAAGCGACCACTGAAGGTATGAGTTGCGTTGCGTCTTTTGCACACATCTATAAATCGAGTCTGAAAAGACAAAAAAGATATAAAGCGGAAATGGTTAGCATTTACGCATATTCAAAAGGCACCGTTGGACAAACTGTAGGGGCGCATAGCTGCAATATCAGGTTATGAAAAATTTTCCTCATGTTTAGGGCACAAATTATGGAGGGGCAAGAATATACGTTTGCCCCTCCTCCAAAAGTTTTTTAGGGAACGATGCCTCCTCTGCCACCCCGTATCCGTCGCCCCTGTAAGCGGTCACTGAAGGCCTGGGTTGCCACTGCGTCACGTTGACCAGTGGCGGATCCGGGGGGGGCAAAATGGACATTTGCCCCCCCCCCAAACGGCATAATTTTAACATTACGCCTATGGACGGTGCATGGAAACTGGAAAGAATCGATAAATTGTTATGGTTTGCCCCCCCCCCAAAAAAAAAAACTCTGAGCTGGATCCGCCTCTGACGTTGACGCTTATAATGCCTCCAAAACTAGGTTGAAGAGAGGAAAACTTCAAATGAAAGTGAACGCTTGCCATTTAAGAAAGGCAACGTATGATAAAGTATATGGGCATTTGGTTACATCTTCAGATGATCGAACAGAATAATCAGGTTACAGGTATATGGTTTCTTGTCTAAGCTTTGTCACAAATTATGGGGGGGGGGGCAAAAAGATACTTTTGCCCCCCACGAGTTTGCCAGGGGGGCAGCTGCCCCCCCCCCCCTGCCCCCCCCCCCGAATCCGCCGCCCCTGGACTTCGCAAAGGGCGCCTCTCGTCATAAACTCTGTCAAAACGGTGCAAAATCCATCATATAAGGCCTACAAGAGTGTCAGCTCAATGTAGGGGTCAGTCAAGCATAGGTCAGGGTCAAGGTCAGGTCAACCGGGCAGGCACATATTCCCGAAAATCAAAACTGATATTCGCAGCCTGTGACACATGTTTTATGGGTAATTTGGGGCGTAGAACACGATGGTGACATTCATTTTACCATATGTGTACGTGTTTGGCTAAAAAAGTTCAATTTAAGAAATGCATGTATCATGGTCGTGAAGTAGTCACGAGAAATTGCCAAGATTCACTTCAAGATTTTGGAAAATGCGGAACGATAATCAACAATCGAAGATAGCCATTTGATTGTTCATGGCTTTGGCAGTCTAATGGCGTTTACGGCATGTCTGTATGTCTATTCTGTGATTTTATATGATTTTTTGAACATATGCCGTTTTTGGTCGAAAACTCAGAAATCATGACGTCACTAAAACCTCGATATCTCAAAAATTTTCCGACCGATTTTTTTGAAACTTTGTCACAATAAGCTTCAATCAATTCCCTACAGGAACCCAAAATTTGGCGCGCCTGTGGCGCGCCGTTTTTATGCTATGGCCCGGCGAAAAAAGTGGGGGCGTTTAACGCCCCCCCCAGCAACTCGCGGGTTAACTGAAGGTGTTCCGTCGCTACTGATTAGGGCACTCCTTGGTGACCCGGGCGCCCGGATATCCTCGCTTTCCACCCTACTTACCACGAGAGTGTTGTAGGTCATAGTGCCGTGTCCGAGGAACAGTGTCCGCTCCGGCTGTGCACTGCAGTAGCGTCCGTGTTCGCCCAGCGCCGTCCGTACAGCGCTTTCCGTGCAGCCGTGCTCGTGCTGCCGTGTCCGTGCTGCCGTGTCCGTACTGCTGCGCTGGCCGCTATGCTCCCGGCGCCGTGGTCAGCCCACTGCCGGAGCACGTCCGGTCCGGCGGCGCAGAATGCCACAGCTGTTTGTTCTCCCAGGAGAGGCACATGTGTGGCCGGCGATAATCGCAGGACGACCACTGTCCCACCGCACGAGCACGTCCCCTCCCCTCCCCCTCCTCATCCACACTGCACCTCACCCGGCGGAGGCTGCGATTCACGGTGCAAAAGTCGTCACCGCTTATTTCAAGGCATGTACGTGCATGTATGTGAAGTTATAGCCTCGTGGGCGTCAAGTCACCGCCAGAATTAACTATTGTAGATGAACTGTAAAGAATAACTGCGTCATGCTTAGGTGTGTATTGACTGGTGTGTAAGATCAGACCTTCGCCAGAAGCCACTGCAATGTTGTAGGTACAGTCCACAGCAGAAGTAATGTGGGGTTTCAGTCATGGGTATGTTCTGCTTCTGAAGCTTAGGAACGATTAACCAGACTACAATGAAACTTTGAATGTAGTTTATATGTATCGTTACCCTTGTAGCTGCAACTTTAGCTATTGACATCTTCTTTTCGATCACTCCGCATTAACCCTCGCCCGTAAACGGCGATCTGCCACCTTCGCCCATGCAGGGGGGGGGGGTTGGTGCGACCCCCCCCCCCTGGCGTTTGAAAACGGAGCGTCGTAGAGCTTAGCGGAAAAGACCAACGGATTCCTCTCGCCGAGATCTCGCGATTGGTGGTATATTTTTTGGTCCTAGGTCAACATTTGACCTACTTTTGACCGGTCAAAGGTCAAATATTCGGAAAAATAGACTTTTTCAAATTTTCCGCGGCGATTGCGGCAAAACGGTGGGAGATATCGACTTGAAACCTTCACTATCGTGTTCCTTGATCAATTCTCTATCGTTTGGTATGTATTTCGTTTTCCTAGCTCTAAAAATGGCGCGTTGGGAGCGCCGGAAGTCGGCAAGGTCACAGTCGGCGGCAGAAATTCGAAAAATCAAAATTTAAATTTTTGAAATCTGATTGTATTTTTGGATTTGGGATGTCCATTTGCTCCCTATAGAAGCTAATATTGCTGCATATTCCCATTGAGGTGACAAGAATTAGCAAAATAGTGGTTCGGGCGCTTTTCAAAAAGAGTACCGGACGCTGTTCCTCTTGTGACGTCATAGCTCCGTGACCTGACCTGACCCGGTCAAGTTTCTTATACCATATGATAGCCAATACTTGCCCCAACATGCATGGGAAGTTTCATCACGATCCATCAACCGATGTCCGTACCACCGGCAGGAAACCTCGGGCGTTGGCACTCAGTTTGTGAAAATCCGGCCGGAGGCTGTTCCCTTTGTGACGTCATAACTCCGTGACCTGACATGACCCGGTCAATTTTTTTTTTTTTTATCAAAAGATGCGCAAGGTTTGCCCCATAAGGTATCCAAAATTTGGCGGCGCTGCGCGCCGCCGTTTTTGCACTATTTCTGAAAAACCTCAGGGGGGGGGGGTTGCACCAACCCCCCCTACATGGGCGAGGGTTAAACAATCGCCAGTCAAAGCCAACCGTTGAGATTGGTAAAACCCTACATTACTTTAGCGGTCGGCTGTACCTAAACATAGGTGTTGACCGTTCCGAGCTGCCGAAACGTTTTTCCTTCCAAACTGAGTAGGTATTCAAACAAAATGTAGGTATATTGCATAATTCATTCACAACAGAGAAGCTATTCTGCCATAAATCGCAGCGCACAAAACAATTCACGCTCGGAATATTTGCCGTCAGACTGGTCTGACCGCCGTATAAAAGTAACAAACGCGCCGCATTTGCACAAATTGTTTCTGATGTGGACAGCCAATATACAATCTCTTCCCTCGACCCTCCAGAGCTTGTCTCTCCGCAGTCACTGCGCGACGCACCTTCAGAGCCTATCGATTTGGGAGCTGGGCAGACTAGAAGCGCTGGAGACGCGGCCCAGCACCACCTCTGTGGTCCTGGCATTCAGCGGTCGGGCCGGGGCTGCGGGTCTGGGCAGTGACCCGCCGCCGGGGGCCGCAGGTCGGGGCAGTGACCCGCCGCGGAGTGCGGCCGGAGCCGCGCCGCGGGGCAGTGAGGCGGAGCGGCAGGCGCCGGCTCCCGGCCGCGGCGGACCATCCTCAGGCAGCTGACCCAGCGATCGGCCCACCTCGGCGGCGGCCGCCAGCGAGCGGGCTCCTCCGACCGCCCCGGCCCGCCGCCACTCACTCAGACGGGCCAGGATCTGGTCAAAGGTGGGCCGCCGGCCGGGGGTCTGCTGCCAGCAGTCCAGCATCAGCTGGTAGACGGCGACAGGCGCGTCGTCGGGCCGCGGCAGCAGCTGGCGGCGGCGGACCATCTCCACCACCTCGGCGCTGCTGTACCCGTAGTACGGCTGTAATGGAAACGGGGTACGGTCAGGGGCGGGACGGGGCGCTGCTGTACCCGTAGTACGGCTGTAATGGACCCGGGGTACGGTCAGGGGCGGGACGGGGCGCTGCTGCACCCGTAGTACGGCTGTAATGGACACGGGGGACCTACTGTCAGACACGGGATACTGTTAGACCAGTGCAATATGGTATAAGGGGCGGGACACGGCAGTGCTGCACCCGTAGTACGGCTGTACCAGACCCAAGGCATCTACTGTCAGATCCGGAGTACAGTCAGCTCCGGGGTACGGTCATATCCGGGGAACGGTCAGATTCAGACAGAGAACGGTCAGACCAGTACAGTACGGTCAGACACGGAGTGGGACACTGTTTTCCGTGGTATGGCTGTAACTGTCCCGTGCTATTTTCTCAGGCGGGAAAATAGCACGGGTGTGGTGTGGTATTCCACCATGACAATAGTTCCGGAACGCACTTTACTGGTTTTGCTAAAAGGCGGGAGGTTTTCATGTCCTGCAACTTGTCTTTGGGTCTACGTCGCCAGTGAGGCCCCACTGCCCACTGCCCAATGCCCATGCTGCCGGAGGTGACTGCTGACCTGGAGGCCGAAGCTGAAGAGCTCCCAGAGGAGGACGCCGTAGCTGTGGACGTCCGACTCGGTGGTGAACTTGCCGTAGAGGATGCTCTCGGCCGGCATCCAGCGCACTGGCAGCAGCGCCCGCGACTGCAGACTGCGCACAGAGAAACGAGTCAGCGGTTACAGAGACCATACTGCAGCGCTCTGGACTGCAGGAGCGCGTCACTGCTCCAACCACTGGTCACAAAGGTTATATCGCAGCACCCGGGACAATTAACCCGCGCCCTGCTGGGGGGGGGGTGTTTGAACACCCCCCTTGTGGTTTTTCACGAATATCTCAAAAACGGCGGCGCGAAGCGCCGCCGTTTTTGGTACACCTTATCATACATCAATTCTACACATGTTGTGAAAATTTCAGACCAAGGTCATTCAAGGTCAGGTCACCAGGTCACTTGAAGTGACCTAACCTCATAAAAACTTTCAATGTCTGTCATAGCTACACCGAGTGACCGATCGCTTTGAAACTTTCAGCGATTGCTAAGAGCAATAGCATGTACAAAATGTATATCTCAGAATTTTGATATCGATGACCTAAGGTCAGGTCAATTTTGCGACCTCCCCATTATAAGTCAATGGGAGAAAATTGAAATGCGCCTCTTTTGGACGAAAGACATTATAAACACTCCCAAACACTGAATTACAAGTGGTTTAGACACACTGAACATGAAAATGGTGTCCGTGACCCCTGTTTATGCCCTGAGGTCATCTTAGGTCACGAATGGTATCTAACAGTTTTTCGCAAATAACTTTTGATAGAGGCATTCTAGAGCGATGAAAACGCCTTAGATGTGTTCAGCTCGACGATACGGATCGACTGATATGCAACATGACCCTTTCCGGTCAGGTCATGACCTTGACCTGAGGTCAAATTTTCAAGTTGACCTTTCAAGGTCAAATTATAGTTCATTCGATGCGTCTTGACGAGAGGAACACGATGCCGGTAAAAGTAAGCTCGTAAAAGGCTTGGGTCAAAAGTTATTGCAGAAAAACTGTTTCCGAAAAAATCGGCTATTTTTGCAGTTTTTGCCCCCTGCAGGCAAAACCGTTGACGTTAGGTCAAATCTGAGAGCATTACTCAGAAAGGGCGTTAATAGGGCTATCGAATGCGGATTTCCGCGGCGCTGTAGCTCTATTGATTCCCGAGTTATGCGTTGGCTTCTTGGAAATTGTCGACATTCGACCTGGAAATCCGCGAAATTTTGCCTTCAATGACCTCTGGTGACCTGACCTTTGACCTGACCAAAAAATTGACCGAAGTGATTTCCTCATTATTTTTGACGCTCTTTCGAACGCCGCCTTCCGCGTATCGCTACGTGGCCCAGGAGCCGAGTTAGAAGGGGGGGGGGTGTTCAAACACCCCCCCCCCCCAGCAGGGCGTGGAAATCCAGGACCCCCAGCAGGGCGCGGGTTAAAGGAACGTGTCACTGCTCAATTATCCAGTCACAGATTATATCGCGTCACGCTTCCGACTCAAATAAGGATATGAATTACGTGTCCTTGCAAGGAGTCGGACAAATTATTAGAATAATTTGCTTATAAATGGCAGCAACATTTACAAACGTGGGGACGGACACTTGACATTAGACGCTTGGGCTGTTTTCCTAAGGATCGGAAAACGGTGCCACTACGAAGTGGGACGCTCATGTGCCACCCGAACAATGCAACTGAAAGCCCGGCTAATCAGTGCCTAAGTTCGGTTTTGAGTGTGACGTGTCACTTGCCCGTCGCACTACCCAACAGCCACGGTAACACGCAGTGCGGCCCGTCGGATATAAACACTCTCGCCCGTGCCAGCCTCCGCCCCCGCCCCGCCACATCGCACAGTGGATCGGTCGGTCGAACAAATAGCTCAAAATTACATCGAGATAAAAATTCAATTGATTATAAAGCATATATTCGGAGAGTGTCTGGCCTTTGGAATCATTGTAAGCTTGTTTAGTTACTGCCGGATAAGCATCGATCAAATTCACGACTTACCGCGATCACTATTCACTAATGTTACCACAACGTTGAAATGCCAGCCAATCAAAATATTCCCGTCAGGTTTGAACTTTGACTGACTGAATCTTCCAGTCTGATAGCATAAGCTTTTAAAATATACCTACCAGCAGCGTTACCGCTGGCGTCTCGCTGGTTTCCCCAGATTCTAACGAAAATTTCCCTATTTTGAAAACCATTTCCCTAGATGCGGCTATTTTCCTGGAATTTGACGTACTTTCCTCATTTTAATCATTCGTGTTATAGTCGCTGCGTCGTAAACAGCAATTAACTACATTCTGTTACATTAACGTAAGAGATTGTAATGAAATTGCTGGCATATAGCAAATTACTGTATGTGGTATAATACATATAAGTGCGTGGTATATCGCGCCAAATTGTGGGTGTTGCGGGACGCGGGAAACTATACCGTGTAGGTAGAGCTGGCGATAAGAGACGAGTCGATGCATTATTTCGCATGCCGTCAGTTTGACCATAAAGAAGTGAAATGCGCTAGAAATTGTAAAAATCGCGCCAAAACAAAAACTTTGATGTAAAAAATTAGCCGCACCCGATATGGGGTACAATACAAAGCATGGAAGCAGTTTGTTTTGAAATAATAGCAAGAATCATATATGCATATAGGTACATGCATATATATGTAATTCTCCCTATGTATTTAAAACGAAAGTATTAACCCTATTAGTGGCAGGCTCCTGGCTACCCCCTATTAGTGGCAGGGGGGGCTGTTTACGACCCCCCCTTGATATCTCGAGATCTAACGGGCCGATTTTCAAAATTCAAACGGCATTCGATTGCGCTCAACGTGATCTACATTTCTAAAAAATAAAAATTAAAAAATGTCAATAGGGGGGGGGGTAGAGGGGGGTAAAAACGGGCAAATTGCAGATACATTTTAGACTGTTTATCACGGCCAGGTTTCTGAACCAATCTTAACGCAACTTTTGCCGATCGATAGAGAATGAACCAGGAATTCACATGGATCCTAAAAATATGCATTTTCAAAAATCATAGGCGGATACAGATCATTGAGATTGGGGGTACACAAAAAGTATAGTAAATAAGGTTTTTGTTGGTACTGTTTCTAAAAAGGGTGGTAATGGTCTTGTTTTGTTACAATTTTCTTATGAGAGAACGACTACAATTGTATTGGTCATGCATAGGCGGTGTCAGGGCACCTATGTTGGGAGGTAAAACATAACCTCCCTTTTTGGACGCCTGGATCCGCCTATTATAGCAAAAACGTGTCAAAAGAGGATGCACAATAACTGTATATGTTATCACATGATACCTTTCATTCACTGTTCGTAAAACTGGTGCAGCATCGTGATCTTCGCCCAAATGACTCGCTTCACGAATAGGACCCCCCAATTCCCAGTGCTCTGGAGCCGCCCCTGGTAAAGGTATGAACTTGAAATTTTCAGGGAATGTGCCCAATTTAGTTTTAGGAAAAGTCAGAAAATTTCAGCATCGTAGCTTGAGCGGTTTCGGAGATATTCCCGAAAAACCTGAGGGGTGGATAAAAACAACCCCCCCCCCCCCTGCCACTAATAGGGTTAACCCGCGCCCCGCTGGAGGGGGCAGATTCCCCCTCCCGTTTTTCGCCAATAACTTCTAAACAGGTTACGCCAGCGACGTCAAACTTTTAATACCTTATCATACATCAATTTGACACGTGCCCTGAAAATTTGAGCGAAATCCGTCGGAAAATTTTTGAGAAATTGACGTTTTTGTGACGTCATGTTCGCCATTTTCGCCTGAAAAACGGCAAAATTTCAAACGCCGCTAACATCTTCATTAGGAATCAAGACGTAACCAAAAAAGGTTATACGTGATTCTACTTTGTCTATCAAATGGCTATCTCGTTTTTTTGTGAAAATTTTGGATTTTGGCCCAAATTTAAAAAAACTGACTTTTTTGGGAAAATTATTATAAAACCAAAATTTTGAGCGTATTGAAAAAACCGGAATATATGTCAGAGAAGTAGTCTATGTGCACCTGTATACCAATTTTTAGAAGAATCGGTTAAAAAATGTGGGAGTTATTCAAAATTTTATGACGTCACGACACACAAAACTTTTGAAAAATGATTTTTTGGAAGTTCTAGACCTCGTACGGAAACAAAAATAGCACCATTTGATTCGCCGTGAAAAACTGCATCAGATAGACACCTTTTTAGGCCTTAAACCGCGCGGGGCTGGGGGGGGGGGTAAATTTTACCCCCCTCGAGAATTTTTGCGATATCTCAAAAACGGCAGCGCAGCGCCGCCAAACTTTCAGTACCTTTTCTTACATCAATTTGACACCTTCCCTGAAAATTTGAGCGAAATCCGTCGGAAAATTTTTGAGAAATTGACGTTTTAGTGACGTCATGTTCGCCATTTTCGCCTCAAAAACGGCAAAAGTTCAAACGCCGCTAACATCTTCATTTTTAAAGGAATCAAGACGTAACAAAAAAGTTTATACGTAATTTTACTTTGTCTATCAAATGGCTATCTCGGTTTTTTGAAAATTTTGGATTTTGGCCTAAATTTTTTCAAAAAAACTGATTTTTTTGGGAAAATCATTATAAAATCCAAAATTTTGAGTCTATCGAAAAAACCGGAATATATGTCAGAGAAGTGGTCTATGTGCACCTACATACCAAATTTTAGAAGAATCGGTTCAAAAATGTGGGAGTTATTCAAAATTTTATGACGTCACGACACACAAAATTTTTGAAAAATAAGTTCTAGACCTCGTACGGAAACAAAAATAGCACCATTCGATTCGCCGTGAAAAACTACATCAGATAGACACCTTTTTAGGCCTTAACAACCAACTTCAAAATTTGACCTCACTTGACCTGACCTTGACCTGACCTCGACCTGAAATTCATCCAGAGGTGGTCCATATCACTTATTGAGTGTGCCTATTGAATTCTATGAGTAAAATGACCCATAAAACATGTGTCGCACATGCCCTTTTCTTTATTTTGTTTTTTGGTGACCTGACCTGACCTGACCTGACCTTGACCTTGACCTCTGAATGATATTGTATGCAACTAATATTGTCTTGGTAGCCTAAGAACACGTTTTGGGCGATCAGTCTCAGTCC